GCGGGTAACTAAGGTCACTCCACACTTAAAAAATTGTGGTTTAGGGCCTTGGTGCATCCAAGAATGACAGGCAAAGATATCGAATATAGGTCAAGCTTTTTACCTTTATCTTTAGAACACATCTACGTTGGTCTTTAATATACCTCCCGAACACGTTAAAATTTGAATTAATCAACTAGTCTCAATTTTTTTACACTTTACAGATACAGGTCAAATTCTACTGGGTATGACATTGAAGCGCTTACATGTAGTAATTCAGAAACTATTTAGGACTTAAATGGTCGATTATTTGATCAAGGATGTGCTCACCAGATTCGTGTAACGTTGGACAGAATAAATAACTAAAATAAGCCGTCGGTTTTTAACACGATTTTAACAAAATAAGATAACATAGTGCTTTATTCAACGGGACTGTATTTGTAAGCAATTTACTAACTGTATGAAGGTGAGTTTATTTGTATTCTGCCTAAATATTGCAGCCAAAAAGCACTATTTCTGAAGATATTGAGAAGGGATATCAGGGTAAATGTTCTTTTAAAAGAAATAATTGTGTCAGCCTTAGCTAGTACGAAGATGACAGAAATTTCGCCTAACGGATGTTAAGCACAATCAAACGAGATATAACAAAGTGCAGCGCGCTCTGAGAGCTCTATTACAGCCAGAGCATGCCTAAAATTTTTGGTATGAAAGGGTAAGAAGCAGTATCAACACTTTACATAGAAGAGGTCTGTACAAGTTGCCTTGTAGGAAGCTAGATTTTTACCATATTCCTCGACAGGAAACAAGCTGGGCAAATGACTTTACTCCGCAGAAATGAGGTTACTTGTGGTGAACGGATAACTATGCATACGTGTAATCCTATTCATAGACCACCGAACCGCGCATAAGACCTGAAAATTACACAGGTTATCCTAACGCTCAATCGGAGGCCATATATAGTAATAACTTGCACTTCGTTTAGGAAGCCGACGTCGTTCTACAGAATGCAGAGCATGCACAACACCTGGGATATAATTCTGCAGATATTATCTTAATTAATTACCTAGATTTCACAGTAACTATATAAAGTTCGAATTTCACATTTAGAGTGTATCCAAACTCAACTTTTAGTAGTAAGCAGACTTTCGCGAGCCCGCATGCGATTCATCTTCCTTACGTGCCTTAAAGTTATTCAGGCACGCATTTCGACTTCAAGCATCCGCATAAGTACCGCTACGAATATTCGAAAATTTGATTAGAGAAATTTTAAGAAACAAAATTTTCTGATTTCATCTATTACATTTAGTAGACCAAGTGTCGAATACTGCTCACTCGCTTACTTCCTTCCCAGCAAGTAGGGGCTGATAAAAGCCTGATGTCAAGCCGCATAATTCAGGAGATTTATGCATCATTTACCAATCACGGAAAGTTTTCATAGGCCCGAGCACCCTGTACGCTAGCGTCAATACGTTTAGATAATCTAATCAAAATGTGCAATAAAAGTCAAAATACATTTTTGTATTCCACTTCCTTAGTCCAATCACAAACAACACATTCAGTGCATGCTCATAGGTTTCAAGGTCTGATGTAAGCTTAAATTTTAGACACCTTCAGTATATTCATTGACTTATGACATAAAAAACATGAGCATGGCTCTGTCTATGCCCACCTACGTTATGAAGAGTAGTCTGGCGTCCTTTAATGGAACAGCACGTTGTAGGTCCCGCCCTGATAATTTTTTCCCGCTTAAATGTGAGCGCAGGTCTTCAGTTAAAACGCCTTGGCAGAGGAACCAACTCAAAGGCCTCTGATTGTCGAAATTTTGGTCATCGTAGATCTAATCGGCTTAAAAATGCCTGTGCTTGCGAACTACGGAAGTACTCCTGACGGGGGACAGTCTGACTGAACGCACGTGCTATTTCATGGATAATCACGTAGGCAGCGAAACGGCTCACTTAATCCAACGGGAGCTTCTGGCTCAGCCCCTCAGAGTACCGAATACTACCCAGCTGCGCATTACTGCTGCATCGGGACAACGATGTTTCGGCTATACTACCAGAGCGAAAGCGACCAAAGAGTGTCAAAGACATTGAAGTCGATAGATGAAAGCAACAGGCTCTTATTTATACTTCCAATGACGGTACGTGAAAGCTGGACATAACCTTAGTTGCATTATAGCAATGTACAAAGTGTCCCGATAATAACGCCATCGTGATGTATTGATCATGAATTTAGATATAGCTAAATATAACTAGAGAACGCTTGAGAAAGAGTAAGACAAACATGATTAGGTAGCACCCAATGAGTAAGTCATACTTATACCTGAAACACTCAGAACTGATATTCTAAGAAAGGGCAAATAAATAATAACGCCATGAGTCGACGTTTCCCAAGGTGTGTGGACATCCGACGAATAATTTAGATCAATAAACGTGTTTTATATGCTAGATTATCGGCCGGAAACAAAATGAAAAAATTCAAAAAAAGATAATAGTTAGCATAAAATGGGAAATTACTCCTTTCGTCTGCGTCATTTGGGGTAACCGTCAAAAAATTCGCGTGTTGCCGTAAATCCAGCTGTCATTCGTCAGTTTACAATCCGCGGTTATCAGTTGCCAACGCTTTCAGTTCTGAGATTGCAAACGGACAAAATGGGCAGGAGATTAATATCTACTTACACACGTCATCCCCGCACACTTGGAAAATGAAGACTTTTACACGAAGACATAATTAGAAAGTTGAAACTTAATTACTAGTAGAGTATCTATTGACGGAAATGCAAGCCAAACGATATATAAACGCATGCACCAACGCACAACAGAAACAAAACAAACAACGTTGTATAGTGGATGACAAAGTCTGAAAAAAAGTGGCCTACCAGGATCAAAGGCTTATTATTTTTGGCAGTGCCGTGTAAAATCATTAGTAAAAACCTTAACAGGTATACAAAATTTCCCTTCCGCGTTCATATATAAGGGCGTATGCACTGTCCTTAATGCCTTACTTTCATCTAAAATGTGACTACTAACTTTTGCAGTTTAT